TTCCGCCACCTTTCAACCAGCTTCCACCCATCATGCACCCCCTTCCCTGTCTGAGGCCGTTCCCGACACGGGCCACACGTAAGGATGCCCAACGCCGAAAACCGCCCAAACCTAACTCGCAGGCAACCTATCCTAATATGGCAACAGCGCGCACTGTTTTCACTCCTTTTTCCACTGTTTTTTATACCCCACTTCCACATGTTTTTCCAGCCCACCCTGTGGGTCCCACAGTTTTTGTACTGACGACTCCCGCCTGTTCTTCAGCCCACCCCGTGGGCCCCGATCCTAACCCGGGAATAGCGTGCACTGTTTTTATTGTGAAGTCCCTTTAGCCTGGCAGCAAAGGGACGCTGTCGGGTTATGTGAGTTCAGCAGAGACACATGACATGGCCAATGTGTCGATTTTTCACGTTGCCTGCAAGGATGTTCGTTCATTCATTCAGCGTGCACTGTTTTCACCTTTTGTCCGCGCTTTTTTATGCTGACAACCCCTCTCCCGCCTGTTTTTCAGCCCAGCTCGGCGCCATGGATCCCCCTGCGGCCCAATCCTAACCTAGGAGCACGGTGCTTTCACCCCTTACTTTCCCACGCTTTTTATACTGACGACACTGCCCGCTTTTTTTCAGGCCACCATGCAGCCCCCCAGCGACGGCTGCGCCCATTGCCCGGACGCCAACCCCTGGGCCGCCGTCAAGGCCAAGCTCCAGGTCTTCGCCGGCCGCGACAAGTGCAGGTTCCGGCCTGCATCCCCGGCATCCCCCATCTTCGAGGCGGTGCCGTCGGACCGCGTGGCGCGCGACCTCGGCGTGATCCTCACCCTGGGGGTGGGCGGCGTCCTGGGCAAGCCCCCCCTGCGGCGATTCCAGCTCGCCGGCGTGGACGATCGAGACCTGCGCGCGCTGGGATTGTCCTGCGGAGAAGATGCGCTGACGTTTGACGGCGTGATGGCGTTTTTGAAGGATCGCGGTTACGATGCCCGCAGGGTGGAGGAGGACCGATCCGCGCTGTGGTGCAGGGTGGTGGTGGTGATGCGGAAGCGGGGGGGAAGCTGGGGCGCGTGCGGGGCATTGGGGAGGGGGGACGCCTTCGTGAGGGTGGTGCCAGGGGACGGGCCCGGGGGCCCCGATGAGGGGGCCCGGGGGCCCACGGCGCCCGGGCTGAGGCCCGCCGACGCGTTCATACGTCGGCTGCCGGGGCTGGAGTGCGAGGCGTTTTGAAATTCGGAATTCGGATTTTGGGATTTCGAGATTCGGAAATTGATAGGTCAGCAAGGGTGGGTTGTGGGATGGCACTGGATGGATGGTTGAGCATTCGTCAACGATTGCGAGGTGCAATGGTCTCGCTTTGTCCTTTCACAGGCAGGCGAAGGACTGTAGCTGGCGCGCTCTGACGTTGGGGTTGATGTGCGCTGGAAGTATGCGCATTCGGCATCCCTGCAAGGTGGAAGGGCCCGCTTTGGCTTTACAAGCAGACTTACACCAAGGATTGTAGCTAGCGCCCGCTGGCTTTGGAGGCTTGACGTCCTTGAAACGATTGGCCACGATAGGGTGTGAAGGGGGGCACGCCGCTGCGTCCGATGGGGAGTGGATGGTATCCTTTGGGGCGGCTGGCTTTCGTAGCTGCTGATTGGCTCGGGCTTGGGCTTGTTCTGCTATGCTTGCTTGGCTCCCTGCCTGCATGAATTCAGGCCTCCAGTCGATGCGTGTGAAATGCAATAAGGTAGCTGGCCTGTGAGATAACTGATTGCAGTACGTTAAAGGGCTTCGATTTGGGAAGGAGGGGCGGGGTGGAGGTAGGTGGGGTGGGGGGGGCATGTGAGCTGGTAGGCATGGGGCGCATCTGTGGATTGTGCACTACAACAAGGGTAGGGGCAGCGGCAGCATTGGGACCAATAGGGCACATATAGGCGCTTACTTGGGACAATCCTGCAGGACATGCTTGTCTGGGTGGGTGTGAGCGCACGCAAGCTCACAGTGGCCCTATGGAGGGTGTAGGGTTCCGGGGCCAAGTCTACAAGTGGGACCCTTGCCATTCGAGGCGCCTGCATGGCTCCTGTGCTGGCGGGCGCGAGGCTAGGACTCCCTCTCGTGCGCAGAAGGGGCTGCCGCCTGGCAGTGCGCTGGGTTGCGAGGGTTGGGATCGCCGATGGGTTTGGCGGTCAGCACAGAGCCCTTCAATTTTGGCCACCAGCGCAATTTTGAGGCTGAAGGTGAACTTCCTTCAGATGTTGATGGTGGTGGGTGGGGTGGCGTGGGCAGTGGGCCGGCGGGGGAGGTGGTGGGTGGTGGCTTGGGGGTTGGGAGAGGATTTCTGTTTGATTACATCTTGTGTACAAGGTTCGACTTTATTTTCCTCCGATGCTGGCGGTGAGGATGCTCTGCGTTGTGGCAGGTAGCGCCATGGATTATTAGTAACTGAGCCGATCACATGGGAGCCGATCACATGGGCCCCATAAAGGCCGGGCAGGGTGAGGGACGTTGTACATGAGCCCCCAGCGCCTGTGGCCTCGTCTGATTCTCGAGGCGTTTTGTAACAAAATGATTCACCTGCTTGTGGAGGCCCTGTTGGAGCTCCCCCGGAGGAGGGAGTATTGACGAAGGCAGGCAGGGTCGAGGGGTGGCGAACCCTGAACGGTTTGCAGCCGAGCAAAGGTAAAACAGGAGTCCTGTCCCTTATATTCAGTCCGCTCATCAATGTCTTTAATGCAATTCCTAACGCCTCTTCACTTCTTTATGCGTCCAACTGTTAATGATACTCAGTCAGTTCTAGCTACAAAAGTGCAAAAGGTGCCCGTCTGACATGGCAGCTACCCGAGCGAAAATCCGCAAAGCGCCAAGCCTTCGCCTGTCCCGCCTTCCGGCTCGATTGGGTTTACGTCAAAGGAGACGAATCTGGGTCCGTCCAGCTCCCTCGTGAACACGTCGCCAGCGGTTGCGCCACGGAAAACTCAAACTGCCCTCCGGGCCTTGCACCTCCGGGCTCATGCAGAAATCTGGGACTTTGGTGAGAAAGACGCGGGAAGCCGCTTCGATTCTCACAGAATTTCTTGGAAACCCATGCACTCCGACGGCGAGATTGCAATGGGCGCGCTCTGCCTAAATTCGAGCGCAGGAGACCTCAAACTCTTGGCTGTCAAGCCAATTTTGTCGGGCTGCGAACCACGGCCTGCGTGCACGGGTCGCATATGAGGAGAATGCCAACGGGGTGTTTACAGCTTCGCGGACTATGGTCCGTCCGTTCAGCCCCTCAGACACTTGGGCACAGCAGCAAGCAGCCTGCGGCAGCCACTCCACAGATACCTTAGCCACGTCAGAAAGGGCAGCTGCCCTTTCTGTGTATGTACTGCCCTTTCTATGATGTACTGCAGTACATCATAATCTTATACAATTTCAATCAAGTCACGTCCAAACATGGCAGTTCACATCATTCTCGCTTCCCTTGCGCCTCATACTCTACTATTCGGATCACATCTGAGCGTGCTTCAGCAAACCTCATGGCATGCTCTTATAATCCTCACATAACCCCCTTGCAACGCTCAGGTGGACATCACTCCACTCCTTGGTCACCTTTTCAGCACACGCGCAGCACCACAATCGAATCTGTGCCGCGACCTGAAAGATTCGCAGTAATATTCGTTCTCGGCTACGGCTCCGCCTGCCCTTTCCCCGCACTACAATGTACTGCTCACAAACAACGCTCTGACGTCACAGCCACGCCACAAATCAGCCCACTGATACACTACAATGTATTGCTCACAAACAACGCTCTGACGTCACAGCCCCGCCACAAATCAGCCCAGCGATATTTCTTGATCGAATTAAAGGACTGAAAGACTCACCCAACGCATCAGCAACAGAAGTCCATAATTTTCATGACCAAATTCATAACCAGATTGCTGATGTTTCCATCGTGGCAGGTCGCATCCCTATTGGGCTATCAAGCGTCACAGAATCGCGTAAAGTGCATCTGTCTAAAGCACAAGGCGGCATCATTCGGCTCCGCATACTCTGCGGCGCAATTGGGTTTTACTCAACTTAAAAGTTGACTCACTTGTGAGTGCAATTGCGCCGTGGCCCCAATGCCGCACCGACGCGGTCTTAGTTCTGGACGCCGCGGTGTAACGGGCGCCCAATCAGTCGCCCTGCCTGCCGTGAAGATCGCTTCTTGTCACGGACACCCTGAACCCCTAAATCGCTGCCCCTCTGACCGGCGCTGGCCTTCCCAGCGAAAGAAGGATCTTCACGGAAAGAGAGAGGGACTACTATATTATCGGCATCAACGCGGTGCAATAGGGCAAGTTGACTCGCCGTTATTGCGCAGAGTCTGTTTCTCGCTTCAATGCCCAACCGGCGGTCATGGTTCCGGACGCCACGCTGCCTAAGATCGCGGTTCCACACTCGGTTCAGTGTGGAACAAGAAGAGCGCAGTTCCAACAAACTCGGTTCAGTGTGGAACAAGAAGAACGCAGAAAATTTCCGAAATGCGATGCTGCGCGAGGATGGCAGAGTTTGTGAGATGGGCGGACGTTTTGCCAGTGGGCGGCCATGGCCACGTGGCCCGAGCCGTGTTTTGCCGATACAGGCTCAAAAAGGGGAAAATCAATCGTGCCTTCCACTGTGAGTCCGGCAGTCGCCGGGAAGCCGACAGACGCGAAGACTGCCTGATGAACCAAAAGCCTTGAGTCTTACAACAGTCCACCAGGTCGGTAACTATAGTACATAACACCGCAAAGCACGCGCAGGTCCAGTCGATAGATCTTCGCCGCGCGCTGGCGTCCATAGATGTATTCCTCCAAATTCCACACGCACAAATAACTCCTCCAACTCCACAGTTCTCTCTCGCACAGGCCCGCACCCGCGACGCCTCACCCAGATGCCCATTCAACCTCAAAACGGGGCGCGCCGTCCAACCTAAAGAAATAATATGACGACCTAAAGGATCACGAAGCTCCGGCCAACGTAGCAGCACAATCAGCCGGCCTAAAAGGACAGCCAAGGGACCTAATAGGTCACGCAGCTCCTGAAGGGCAGCCGCCTCACGAAGGCGTGGTTCTGCTGCAGCCCCTCCGGCACGTCGCGCCGCTGGGCGCCCGCCGACTTCCTCATCATCACCATGAGCACGCTGCTGTCCGTGTCGGTCATGAACTCCTCGTACCCCTGGGCCCCCAGGAAGGCCATCACCTCGTTGTAGGTCACCGCGGCATCCCCGCACTTCGACGCCAGCTGCCTCAATGTACTGTCCTCCACGCCCACCACCTGAAACGCCTTCGTGTGCCGCTTCAGCATCCCCGTCACCCCCTTGGTCATGGCGCTGATGTTCAGCTTCCCCTTGTGGCCGGAATCTTCCACGAATGTGTCGGGGGCGCGGGAGGCCTCCGCGGCAGGGGCGATCCTGTACCTGTGCTTGGAGGGGGCGCCGGTGGCGGGCGCCCTCTGCTTGAGGATGGGGTCCTGCGGGGTGGTCTTCATGGCGTAGTCCGTGGAGCTGCGCAGGGCGTGGGCCATGTCTGTGCGATGGGTCCGAACGCTGTGTCCTCAGGTTCGCGCTCTGCAGGGCGGGAAAGGGGGCCGCGTCAGGCGTCGTGCAGCAGAGACCCAAAACAGAGCCCGTTCAAACAAGCACTGAATCAATCGTGTGTACACGATAAATTAATGACCAGTTAATCGCCTTTATCACTGGGCAATTCATAGTTCGAATTTATCCCTCAGTTTTGCCACCTCATTTTTTAATCAGATTAATCACCCAGCCGATTCTATTGCTTTATTCCTCAGTTCTTTACAACCAACACTCGTTTACTTCTCGCACTCATTTACTCCTCACAACAATCACCGGTTGGCTGCCTGGCTAGCCAGTACCTAAAATTCACTCATTCCTTCGTGACAATCATTGATCCATCCACAATCACCATGGGATTTTTTATCAATCAGTTATCCAATCGTCCATTCATATCACGAACTCGCTGCAATCATTCGCCGTTCGCGGGCCGCGTCCCCAGATCGCCCAGTCGCCCTCGCGTCCCTCCTCACAATCACTCGAGACACACTCACGCCCCAAGCCATGCTCCCCCCCCCCCAGCCCGCGCCGCGGCCCACGCGCCGCGGCCCACCCAAAACACCCCCCGGGGGGCGCGTCGCGCGCCGAGCGTAGTCCCGCATGCGCGAAAATGCGACCCTCGATGCGCAGGCTCCACACTCGCATGCGGATCACCGGCAGCGCCGCCGGCGCCGCCGGGCCGGAAAGCCAACGGGCGCCCAGCGCCCGACCGCGATCCGCCGATTGAACACAAGGAAAAGACGATCAGAAAGTGCTGGGGAGGGGGCAAGGGGGCGGATGGGGCGCATCAAGAAAAAGTGACTCGGGGGAAGAGCACGGGACAGGCGCATGCCAAGCCGCCGGCCCTGGAGATTGCCGCCGCTGAATGCGGCTTCCGCTGCCGCGACCACAGCCTCCCAGGAGCGGAATGCTTCGAAGCGGCCAGCAAGGGCCGCGCCCGGAATGGCGGCACTCGAAAATGCCAAGCGTGACATGGCTGGGACGGCGAGCTCCCAGGGACAGGGGGGACGGGTGGGGGATAAGCGCAGCACGCAGGGCGGAATCGGGAGCAATGGACGGGTACAGGCCACGCTCTGGCGACAATCGGCTACCCGCCCACGCTCGGGGTGGGCTTGCCGCTGTTCTCCGGCCCCGCAGCAGCTCCCAGTGGGGGCCGCCGGTGAAAAATTGCGGCTGGCACCGGGCCAGGCAACACGGGCTGACCGTGGGTGCCGTAATCGTTTGAGGGATCGACATGCGAGACGGGCATCCGCTAAAACCAGCGTGAAGCTCGCGGCGCCAGCGCCGGGCTGGCCCCCCGCCCTGCGGCCGAGATCCGGGCCCCGGCACGCGTGGCCGGCACGGCGGTGGGGTCGATCAGCCGCGGCTCTGCCCGCGCCGATGCGCCGTCGATCGACCAACCAGCGGCAGCCACGCCCGGCGCGAGTGTGAAGGCGCCCCGGGGCGCGTGCGATGCAGCCCGCCAACCCCGAAGTCAGGATCCCAGCCGGCCGCCCTGGGCGCGCAGCCCCGAATCGGAAGGCTCACAGACATCCCCTCAGCACCTACCACCCCGTTCGATCCTCCAAATCGCCGCCTCCTCGCGAAACAAATCTGTTCCCGCTGGCTGCTGGGCTTTAACTTCTCCTCACACTGGCGCGCGTCGACCCGCCGTCGCTGCAGTCGCCGGGCCAGGGTTTGTTTTGGGTGCATGACGTTGGGGTCGGCATTTATGGGGCACGGCGGGACAGCCAAGCGGGCCGCGTGGGGGGCAAGGAGTGACATAAGTGTGGGACCCGGGCCCAGCAATCCGGTGAGCTCGGTGACTTCTGGGCCCCAGACTTCCTGTGACCTCCTTCGACGAGAGATATTTGGGGCCGCCTGGTCATACGCCGCGCCGCTCTGGGATGAGTAACCGGCTATGGGACGCTTTTTTCCTTGGTTAATGTACTGTGGACGCTGCCGTTCGCCAAAGAGTTCATGTGCTGGCGAGGGTGCTGTGGTGGCGGTGCTGTCGGGTGCCCGTCAGTTGATGCCGGTGGGTTGGAGTGTGCCCCCTTGCACTGTCTATATTTGACCACTTGAGTAAAATAACCGAGCCGTCCCATCAGCGTTTGGGCAGGTGTCCGAACCTGTCACGTCGCGTAATCGGGGGATGGCGCCCAACTCGGCGGCACGGGGCGTGACCGCCCGGCGCCGTGAGGCAGACCTTCAAAATGTCAAACCCTTGGGAATCGTAATGAAACGCTGTCAAACAGTAACCCCCTGGCTGGCTTCAAAGCTTGAAATCCAAATGTTTGGATGAATGCGTCAACTGGCCGGATTGTCTGCAACCTGTGCACCGCCGAGTGACCGCACTGCACACAGAAGGCGTGTGCAAACCGCGCCTCCTGCCGCTGCCAACACGGCCTGTTCGCTGCTTCCAGTGACTCTAGAATCCTTGCAGACTCTGGCCGCCCGACAATTTCTACTAAAGCATGTCTTCAAACGTACGTGGTTACAATTTTGCATCATTGCACTTGTTGCAGCGCATTCTAAGCAAAGGATAAAAAACATGTTTTCCGTACTTGGTTGCAGATCTGCCACCGATATCAGCTGCCATCTTGATTGCCACTCAATTGCGCCTTGCTCCGGTTGCATCCGACGCACCGAGTCGGCGCACACCCATGGCGGCCTTATCCCTCTGGCTGTACAGCACCATGCGCAGGCATTGCGTTTAGCCCTCCACAATCCCCCCTCGTGAGGGGGAATCGTGCATGATTGCATAACGCATTTGACAATAGTTGCATAATGCATTACCCTTGGCCAAAGAAGATGCCATTCTCTTGGCGCAGACGGCAAAGAGGATGTCTGCCCGGGGATCGAACTGGGTACCTCTCTCTGGTTGGATGTCCCACCGCTCTACCAAACCACCTTGCCAGGGGCAAGGAAGAGGGCAGTCCAACCCCTTAACAACCTATCCACCCAGCAGTTGGAGGCGCCAACTTGTCGTCGCCAAGCACAGTGTCCACATCACTGTCTGCGGCACTCTCGCAGCCAGCCATTCGAATGGCTCTGCGAATTCGCAGAGTCCGTGGCACTGCTGCGGGTGGGGTAATTTTGCGCCACGCACGCTCAAGTGCTTCGGACAGTGTCCGCCAGGATTGAGCGTCCGTGATACTTGTTTGAGGATTGGCGACGGGTCAGGAGAGGCCACAACTTCGATAGGGGAGATGTGTATATCGAAAAGGTTTCCAAGGTAAAAGAAACTAGAAAACCGCAGTGCTGCATAAAGATTGGTGCATGCTGATGCAGGAAAGTTCTAGTCGATTTGCGAAGTGTGTTTGCAGTTTTGCTGCATCCGGAAATTTGGTGGGCGTTGATCCAGCGTAGATGAGGTTTGATGCAAGGGGATCGTTGAAATAGCGAGCATCAACACTGGTGAGCTGCCCTTGAAGCAATGGCTCTGTAGCGTCGGTATTTATCAAAGTTGATGAACACCGACGCCGCGGAACCATTGCTAACAAGGCATCTTGACACAACATTCCCAAACAAGCAGTCCTGTGACAATGCTGCATCAACAATCCGGCTGTCATCTGTAAACTTGGCAGGCTTTGATGCAACATTGATAGCCCTAGGATCAAAGCGAACCTTCAGCGCTCATGTCTGTAGAGCGGTGTTGATGCAAGGGCATATCTATCAGCATCAAAGCCTACCCAATTTCCGGATGTGAAGGAGACGGCATGGCTTCTTTGCAATTCTCATTTTGTTTCAATGTTCGGGTTACCGGTACCAGGCCATGCCCGGGATATTCGGGATGCTAAGTCCAGTACCCATTTGCCAACCCTTTTGTTCGATTACGCGATGATTGGGAGAGCGGCTGGCAGAACTCCTTATTTGGTGCCCCAAAGTCGAGTTGGTAACGGATTTGGCGCCAAATTCTCTCTTCAAGTTAAGATTTTGAACCTTTTCGGTGTAAGACCTAGACGCTGGCCAGTGACAGTGCCGCGCATGGCTTTGAATCTGCCCCTGGCGGGCCGTCCAGCAAGCGATGCCCTTCACAGTGAAGGACATCGTGTGGAAACTTGATCGCACACTGGATCACTTCATGACAGTAAAGGACAGCCCGCGTTTGTTCGCTGCTTCTCTTATAAGAGAGTCACACTAATTAGTGTGACTGCCTGTAAGAGGCTTTTTGGGTTCTGACTGTTTGACTCAAACATCGGATGGACCAAGCGTGTCGGCGTGTCTTTCAGCACAACGTGCACTAAGGGTTTCACGGACCCGCTGCGCTCCGGTTCTGATCCTGGATTATCATAGCGAAAGATATCCACATAAATGGCGATGGAAGCAGTGCGCTCTGGCTCAGTCCCAAAGCGGGTGGACCAAACTCACCATCTCACCAAGAAAGTGGCCACTTTCTCATTCCACCCATGGGTGGGATGGGGGCCGACTCCTGCTGTGGTCGAACCTAAATGTTGAACCTGCTCTCCGCATCTGCTATCGATGATCAGCGAGGGATAACAATCTCCAACAGACGAGCGTCTGTGCTGCAGCACGGCTCCCTAGTCGCGCAGTTGTGCGCTCAACACTAGGAAAAAAAGGGCCAAATAACACGTGTTCTAACGTGTGCAAAGTTTACGGGTTTGTGTTATTTTTGTGTTCTTAGCGTGCAGAACTTTGATGAAGTGTGTTTTAAGTGTGTTCGAAAGTGTTATTTGGCCCTTTTTTCCCTAGTGCAAATGCTGCCGCTCCAGTGCCTTGTGTTCTGAAGGGCGGGGCTGGTTCGTCTCTACTGGTAAATGGATTTGCAGTCTCCCAACCCTTTAAAATATCCAGTTGCTACATATTGCTGTCTCAAATATATTACACAGCTAGGGAACAGTGCTTATCCAGCGCCCATCAGCATCGCCGTCCATCCCACTCACTTCGATAGATGCGCTTCACCTGTCTTGTCCCGTCGCAAGCATTTTCAGCCCTCAAGGTTTTCCCCGCTCCAGCAGCTCAGCATATTGGGATGGGTTTGGACCTTTGTACCTGCATATAGGTATAGGTTTGGATCGGGCAGATCGGCTGCGAGTGAAGGTCCACACCTGTCCGGATAGGTTTGGACCTTCATTCGCAGCCGATCTGCCCTATGTGTATCCACGACATACAGCTACGCCGCTGCGAAAGCATACTACTGGCATGCAGTTTTACCGCATTGCTGTGTGCAGCATCGCCCCAGGCACACCTCCCAGCGGGCCATGCAGATCCAGCGCGGCCATGTCGCTTTCACTGAAAATCATGTCAAGCATGCGTATGTGAGCTTCCAGCCGTCGATACATCCACCGTTAGCTCTCATTTTTAAAATATGGTATCATGCACTCCAAATGCCCCTAGCCCCTACCCCCAACCCAAAACAAGAATGCTTGATCATCCGCGACTCCAAACCCAAACGCTTGCCGCTGCCTGGTGCCAATGAGCAGATGAGCGTACAAGACGCCGAACCACCGCCGGCTGCCGCTGCTGATCCGCAGGTCGCTTATTCAAACTCCTTGAAATTCATTTGTCAGACAATGACAAGGCACAGTCCTCACATGCGCTTGGTGACGCGCCTTACATTGCATGCCCAAGGCGGTCCCTCGCATCCGATTCACTTGCGCAATTGGCAAGCGAGGATGGGCGCAATCAGTAGGTCGCGCAGTGCCGGTAAGGCAGCAGCCTCACAAAGGCGCTCGACGGCTGCAGAGCCGCAGGAGCGTCCGCTCTGCCATTGCACGGCTTCTTCATCACCACCATCAACAACTCACTGTCCCGACACACGTCCTTGTCCGTCATGAACTCCTCGTACCCCTTGGCGCCCAGGAAGGCCATGACCTCGCCGTACGTGACGTCACCCTCTCCACAGGATGACGCCAGCGTCTTCAGCGTGCCATCGTCCACGCCCAGCAGCTGGAACGCCGCTGTGTGCCGCTTCAGGAGCCGCCTCACGCCCTTGGCCAAACCCTTGCCGCAGGCAGTCTGCACGAAGGTG